ACCTTTGGGTTTTTTTTTTTTCTTTTTTTTTGCTTTTTTTTTTTTTTTTTTTCCAGTTCTGGGACTTGAACCCAGGGCCTTGTACATGATGCTAGGCAGGTGCAGTACCACTGAGCTATAACCCTGACACTTAAACAATGTTTCAGTTTAATTTATTTACTATTTATTTATTTATTTATTTATTTTTGTGGTGTTGGGAATTGAACCCCAGGGCCTTCACACTGAACTGCATTCCTAGCACATTTTATTTTTTATTTTGAGACAAGGTCTCACTGAGTCACCAAGTTGCCCAGACCCGGCTGGAACTAGTGATCCTCCTGCCTCAGCCTTCCAGAGTGCTGGGTTATAGATTTGTATCACCATGCCATGGCCTTTTTAATACTGATGTTCCACCTGGTGGTGGAACACCCCCTTGCAGACACGTTATGTGTGTGTGTGTGTGTGTGTGTGTGTGAGTGTGAGAGAGAGAGAGAGAGAGACCGGATCTCACTATGTATTTCAGGTAGGCTTTGAACTCACTGTGTAACCCAGGCTGACCTTGAGCTTGCAGCAATTCTCCCGCCTCGCCTGCCTGAATGCTGGAATTACAGGTGTGTGCCACCTAGCTCAGCGCACACTCCTATCTGACAAGGAAAAATAGTTTTAGAATGTGACAGGGCAAGCTGGGCGTGGTGGTGCACACCTAAAATCCCAGCACTTGGGAGGCTGAAGCAGGAGGATCACCACAAGTGCTCAGCCATCCTGAAATACATAGTGAGATTCTGTCTCAAACAAACAAACAGAAAATATGGTACGGCAGGAGAGAGAGCCATTTGCCGCAGGTTAAAGTCGAGAACGCTTGCATATGATAACAGTAATAGTTGGATTTTTCAGGTGGTTACCACATGGTAAACACTAATGCTTTGTCTTCATCAGTTCATTTCATAGTCTTAGTATCCTTTTTATTTTTTTGCTTTTGAGACAAGATCTCACCATGTAGTTCAAGCTGGCCTTGAACTTACTAAGTAGGCTAGGTTGGCCTCAAATTTAAGGTGGTCCTCCTGTCTCAGCCTCCCAAGTACTGGGATAACTGATGTGCGTCACCACGCCCAGCCAGAACTAGAATGTGAACCAAAGGAGTGTGGCTGAGACTGACTTTCCATCGGGGTCAGAAGGAGAATGGGAATGGAGCAGCACAGACAGAAACGTGTGTAGATTTTGAGGATTTGAGATTGTAGATTTTTATCTTCCGAAAGCAGATAAGTAATGGCACTTCAGAAAGTGCCAGCCAGAGCACTGCCCTTACACGCTGGCTGTGTGGCCAGTGCCAAGCTTCTGTCCAAGAAGACAGCCTTTGCTTTCCAAAGGGTGCTGATCCCAGTGGAAGAAGAGTGTTGGTGTTAAAGCCCTACGGGTGCTTCACTCTGTGGGAATTCCCTTGTAGGAACAGGTTTTTGAAAGGTTTGTGTTCAGGGTGACATTTTTTGTACTGAGGATTGAACCCCGGCCTGTGGCGCTAAGCAGCAACCCCCCCAGGTAGGGCGTCATTAAGTTGCCCAAGGTTGGGCTTGAACTTGCAGTCCTAACTGCCTCAGCCTCCAGGAGTCCTAACACTTTTAATTCATTTATTTCTGTTTTTGTGAATTTGAGTAGGAAAAATGATTCAGTAGGGCACAGAGGAGGCATGGATTCTCCCAGATCATCACTTTGCATTTTCCTTTCCCATAGATACGGCAAGATTGTCTCCACGAAGGCCATACTGGACAAGACTACAAACAAATGCAAAGGTGAGCGGAGAGCTGTCCCAGGCAGTGGGGGAGCAGCGGGAGTGAGCCAGGCTGGGGAGGGTGCTGAGGTTTGGGGCTTGAAGGACTTGTAGGTACTTGGATTCACTGGTGGCCACACAGCAGGAGCTAAAAATGGTGTTTGGAGACCTGAGGCCGGAAGGCTGCAGAGCTCCCTTAAATCCTCTGAGCTCGTTTTGGAGTTTGTTTCCCGGGATGGGGTGGAGCAGGTGGGTGGGCGAGGTCATTTCTGTTTCTCAAAGCAACGTAATTTCCTTTTGGCAAGGTGGCAGGAGGACTCAGTAGGTGTTGTTTTCTAAAGGTGAATAGTTGGGGGTTTTGAGCAGTTCTGGGTGCAGCTGGAGAAATGCAAGGAGGAGAGAGGGCTGCAGGTCAGGGTGGGGAAGGTTGTCAGCTCTCCTCTGTGCCTGGCATTCTGGGAGGTGTCTAGAGAAGAGGGCAGGGAGTTCTTTTAGAGGGGAGGGCATCTGTGCTATGGTTGATTAGAGAGTCTAGTTCCTGCAGCCTCAGGTTTTCAGAGGGATGGGAGCCAGGCGGGACAGCACGAGGACTCCAAGCCTTGCCCCTAAATTGACCCAGCCTCAGGGTATGAGGAGCCGGTGGATAACCACCTGAAACCTCAATTTTTCTTTCTCCCTGCTACTTCCCTTACATGGATCATAACTCTTCCTCTGCCTCCTGAAAAGCCTGAGCCTCCTACCCTCCCCTACACTGCCCACCTCCCTGTGATGCTGTTTTCCTGTTCTAGGCTATGGTTTTGTGGATTTTGACAGCCCTTCAGCAGCACAGAAGGCTGTAACCGCACTGAAAGCCAGTGGTGTGCAGGCACAGATGGCAAAGGTGAGGGTGCTGTCTCGCGTCGGTTTCTCTGAGAGGTTGTGCTTGGCTTCGGAGTCCCAGTCCTGAGGCTCCCAGAGAGCACTTCTGGGGGCTCTATGCCACTGACGGGAAGGCTGTCTGCAGTGCTTCTTATGTCTGGCCACTCCGTCTGGACTGGCGTCCCCTGAGCATCCCGGGCTGCTGGAGGAAGATGGTCTCAGTCCGGGGCAGGTAGCTCTGTCTGCTGTGCTTCTTTTGAGTTCCTGCAGCAAGCAGGAGAGCCGGAAGGCCTCCCGCAGTACCACTGCCTCGATGGCCCCACCCTGGCCCCTTACCCACCAGAGAGATTGTGATAGTTTTGCAACATTCTGCAAGAGGCCAGTTGTGCAACTCAGAGGTTCAGAGCAGGGCTCTCTGTCTCCCAGCACTGATCCCTGTAGGCGGCAGGGAGTGGGCTGTGGAGGGGAGGAAACCACAGCGAGGAAGGAAGCTGGCCCTCCTCTCAGATCTGCCTTGGGCTGCTATTTATGTGTTTATTCTGTCTAGACTACGTGAAAACTAGAAGCCTTTCAAGCACTTCTCTTAGGTGCTGTCTCTGATGAGGCGGACCTGCCCGCCACCCTTTTCTGTATGGGTTAAAGAAAAAGGAAGTCCTAAAAGGCAAGGCAGAGAGAAGTTAGGTTTGCTGGTGACCGCTGTCGAAGGCAGTGTGGCTGCTTAAATTCTACGTGTGCGGCATGGGACGAGAGTGGGGTTCTGCCCTTGGAGGGAGGTGCTCCCCTCTTCCTTCTGGGGTGAAACCTCTCACTGGAGCCCAAAGGCTCAGGAGCCCTGGGGGTTCCCAGGACACTAGCGCTTTCCACACTGGTGACCCAGTGAGCTGCTCATTCGGCCCTTTCTGACCCCTCCCGCTTCCTGCTTTCCTTCCTTTTCAGAAAGAACGACTCCTACTCAGAAGGTCGCTGTGGCCACAGTGGGGATGGCGTAGAAATAATTCTGTGCTCTTCCCAGCAGTCCCTGAGAACGCGGCCTGGGACAGGTTGCTGGGAGAGGGGCACTGCTCTGCCTGCTCTGAAAGATGCCGATGCCCTGGGTTACCTGCACGTACTAGGGATAGGAGATCTGCTCTGCTTTCTTCCCAGACTCAGTGTAACCCATGCTAGTGCCCTGGTTGTTAGAGGAAGTTAGGATTCTCTTTGTGTGCGTGGGATGCTTCCTCTGGTCTCTTCCGAAATGTCGTTCTCTAGACGAGGGCCAGGAGTGGGAGGGGGGCAGGGGCTATGAGCCTCGTTTCCAACTTTGACTTTCACAGCAACAAGAACAGGACCCCACAAATTTATACATCTCAAACCTCCCACTGTCCATGGACGAGCAAGAACTGGAGGGGATGCTGAAGCCCTTTGGCCAGGTTATCTCCACTCGGATCCTTCGAGACACCAGTGGGACCAGCAGAGGAGTTGGCTTTGCAAGGTGAGGGGTAGCAAGAGTGGGGAGTGCTGAGGTTAATAAAAAATGTCATTGAGAAAGCACCAAAAACATCTGTGTCCCCCGGTACGGTGGCCCATGCTTATAATCCTGGCCTTCTGGGAGGCTGAGGCAGGAGGATTGCTAGTTTGAGCCCACCCTGGACAACTAGCAACTTTGCAAGACTGTCCCTCAAAATAGAAAATAAAAGAAGGTGCTGAGGATATCACTGAGTGCGAGGGCCCCAAAACTGCAAAAACAATGGATCAAAGTTTATTCTGTTTTACATCTTATTGGTGATCCTCCTGCATCAGCCTCCCAAGTGCCAGGAGTATACCACCCTGCCCAGCTCAACATTACATTTTTATTTTTAGAAGAGCTGGGGGTTAAAAGCCTCACGCATGGGGGGCAAACCCTGCATGCCCCAGTCCCAGCCCCCAAATTTTTGCCCGTTCACCAGTTTTTGCCTTTGTTCTTTGATCCTGAACCAACCAGAACAAAATAATTCTATGCATTTTTATAGCTGAGTAGTTAGCTTCTCATCCATGAATCTCATTTAACCTGTAAATATTCATTATCATTCATACCTGTCTTAAGCCCAGCTCCTAATGAGGCTGAGACAGGAGGATCTCACATTCAAGCCCAGCCTAGGCAGTTTAGCTAGAACTTGTCTCAAAATTTAAAAAATCAAAAGGATGGGGATGTAGTCCAGTGATAGAGTACTTGTCTAGCTTGCAGAAAGCTGTGGGTACTGAAAAGGAAAAAAAGGTTTTATGTAACAGAAGATTCTGTTGACTTCTTTTTTGGAAAACTACTGGATTGTGATCTGAAGCTCTCTTTGTTTTACAATGTCTTGTCTGGTTCACGAATGCTCCCTTAGCCGGAGTGTCTTTGACCTTGGGAATAAAGATTAGGTCCTCTGCTCTAGTGAGCTCAGTCTGGGTGGCACCACCTGCTGGCATTCCCAGGTATGACCAAGGGAAGTTCCTAGGCCTGTGGTCATCACTTTTTCTTTTTTTCGTACTGGAGACTGAACCCAAGGCCTCACATATTCAATGAGCTATGCTCTTGCCCTTTTGAATTTCATTTTGAGCCAGGTGTGGTAATGCACACCTATAATCCCAGCACTCAGGGAGGCTGAGGCAGGAGGATCAATGTGAGGTCAAGGCCATCCAGGGCTACATAGTGAGTTCGAGGCAGCCTGCACTACAGAGCAAAGCCCTGTCTCAAAAAAAATTTTTTTTAAATTTTGAGATAGAATATTGCTGAGTTGTTGGGCTGACTTTAAACTTGCCTCTTCATTGAGCTTCCTTCATAGCTGGGATTAACAGATGTGTGCCACCACACTTAGTAGTGATCCTCACATTTTTTATTCCTAATCCTTATCCCCACCCCACCCCAGGATTTGAACTCAGCACCTTCATACATCTCAGCCCTTTTATCATATTTTCATTTTGGGACAGGGTCTCACTAAACTACCCAGGCTGGGCTCAAACTTACCATTCTCCCTCCCACCTCAGCTCCCATAGTGCTAGGATTACAGGTGTGCACCACCATGCTCGCTTTAAATATAATGATCTGAGACACAGAAGTGTCCATTTAAAATTACATGGATCGCTCCCGGGCATGGTGGCGCACGCCTATAATCCCAGCACTCGGGAGGCTGAGGCAGGAGAATCGCTGTGAGTTCAAAACGAGCCTGGGTTACATAGTGAGTTCCAGGTGAGTCTCAACTACATAGTGAGACCCTGTCTCAGAAAACCAAAACCAAAACAAAATAAAATGATATGGATCACTTCTTTTTTAATAGCCATACACCTCATTGTTCCTCCAGCATTCCTCTCATCTTTTTGATGTGTTTGCATTTCACTTCCCTACGGAATTACATTCTACTGTAAATATTTTTACATCTGAAAATCTTTCTTGATCATCTTGTCTTTCTCTCCAACACAAATGTATATATGCAGGGTGTGGTGGTGCACGCCTATAATCCGGGCATTTGGGGTGGCTGAGGCAGGAGGATCACCCTGAATTCAAGGCCACCTAGGGCTATATAGTTCAAGTCTCCCCTGAACTACACAGCAAAACATTGTCTCAAAAAATCAAAAAAATGAATGAATGTGTATGTAAGTTAAAATTTCTACCCCTTTGGCCATTTGGCTATGTGTACTGACCCATAAGTATCATCTTTACAATTATTAGTTCTCAATTGCCCCAAACAACATAAGCATATTAAAGTATTCATACAAAATTATTTTATATAAAGTAAATTTTATTGGAAATGCTCAAGTTGTGTTTAGATTTTTTTTAAGTTAAGTCATGAAACCATTAATATCAGTTAGGGGCCAGGGATTTAGCTCAGTGGTTCCACTGCCTGCCTTGCAAATGCAAGGTCTTGAGTTTGATCCTGTGTACCAAAAAAAGAATTTTTTAATTAATTAATTAAAAATAAATAAATATCAGTTAGGCCAGGCATGGTGGTGCACACCTGTAATCCTTAGCACTCAGGCTAAGGCAGGGGGATCGCTGTGAGTTCGAGGGCAATCTGGGCTACACAGTGAGACTCTGCCTCATAAATAGATAAATAAATGCCAGGTTTTGTTTTTTTGGTTTTGTTTTTGAGACAGGGTCTCACTACATAGTTCAGGCTAGCCTTGAATTCACTGTGTAGCCCAGGCTGGCCTCAAACTCAAAGCGATCCTCCTGTCTCAGAAGTAGTGAGCCCCGGAATGTGCCTCAAAATTGATTTTTTTAAGTGCCACAATTTGCAAATGTCCTCAGCAAATAATTGGTGACAAATAATTAGAAACCATCTGACTTGCAAAGGGGATTTGTAAGTCTTCAGTACCTTCTGTTTAGTTTTAGGGTGGTTAAATAAATCAAAGATCCAGGGATTTAGCTCAGCGGCACACAGTGCCTGCCTTGGCAAGCGTGAGGTCCTGAGTTCAATCCTGGTGCCAAAAAGAAAGAAAAGTAAATTGAGAGAAGGCTGGGCATGGTGGTACATGCTTGTAATCTCAGCATTTGGCTGAAGGCTGAGGCAGGAGGATCCCTTAAGTTCAAGGCCAGCATGAACTAAATAGGCTTGAATGAATAAATGAATGAATATTCCATTTGAGACCTTTTGAAAGTTGCCTCCTGGAGAGGAATGGTTCCTGTGTTATTGACGTACAATATATACCAAAGCTTAATTTAAATATAGAAGGAGGGAAAAGAAGATATTATGTTATACAATATATAGGCTCTCATAAATGCTTTGTTTTTTCTTCTTCTGGTACTAGGGATTGAACTGGCATGCTACTAAGCCACTGCTAAGCTACATCCTCAGTCCCTTGTCAATTTATCTAAGAGATAGATGCTTGCTAAATTGTCTAGGCTGGCCTTCAACTTTTGATCCTCCTGCCTCAGCCTCCCATACTGCTGGACTTACAGGCAGGAGCTCACTGTATTTTTCTTAAAAGTACTAATGAGCACTTAGTGTATTGTGTATCTTTGTTGTTATTTCTGCTTATTCTAAACATAGATAAGCCCTTTTAATTTTTTAGGCCCATAAATATATATATATAT